TACTCACAGATTGTTTCCTGGACATCCGGATTGGAATGATGCAATTTCATTATTGGCAGTCACTCATCATCCTAGCAAAGAGGACCATCGACTATGCCCCGCATGTCTGATGGAGACCCCTGCGCCATTATCGATTTGTGTGATGTGCAAAGGATTTTTGGTGAGTCATGGATGGAGGAAACGAATCAAGATCACCGTGGCTACAGTACCAAAGGCCGAATCACATCATCGAGAAGAAGATCTCAAAGACCATGTCAAGAAAGCATGGGAGGAGGTGAAGATCGATTTGACAGGTGATGATGATGACGACGAGGTGATGCCAGATGATGATGATGTCACCATGAAGAGTCCAGAACAAGAAACTCAACCAGAAGAAGGAGATGATGATCAAGCCTCGAAGAAGGGCGACATCAATGATGAGAAAAGAGACTTCAGAAAAGAAGATGAGGTCGACAAATTTCTCAATCAAGAAGGAAAACCGACCGATGAGAATGACGATGAAGAGAAAGCGGTCGATGAAATCAACATTGAAGAGTACGAGGCTGGAGAAGCTCGTGATGCAGTGATTGAGTACCCCAAGTGGATGCAGCGGATTGAGTTTGGATCAAAGGTCCTGCCGATCGAACCTTGCACAATTGGAGATGCTCAGCCAGAATTCATCAAGATCCTCCTGTTGCAGATTGGATTACATATCGTCAGGATCTACAGACTATTCCAACGGAACTTCTGTGGAGACATCGAGACGGCATGGAAACATTTTCAACAGAACCAGAAATTCAGGATGGACCTGGACTCAAGGACACCTTACCTGGGCGAGGATGAAAATGGTGAACTCATTGAACCAACTGCACAACAGATGAAAGAGCTCTACAAAGAGATCGGCCGACCAAATCAAAAGGACGACATCGGAGAAGAGGGATTCGTCAATGCATACTACGGGGCAGTGGTACTCAAAAGACTTCTCATATATACCCTCGAATGTGGCTACACGTATGATGACTTGCAAAACATATTCTTTGATGAGGAGATGGAGAAGCTGTCGAAACGTGACACCACAATGGATGAGATGAGAAAGACCACAGCGGCCCGCGACGCCCTTGACCGACAAGACGTCATGGTCAGAAGAATCATTGCAGGTGCATATAGGGTAAATGCTGTTTATTTCTTCAGGAACGTTGACTTTCAAGACACAATCACACTGAATCCAGTTGACATTGTGTGTGCTCTTCGTCCACCACTTCGAAGAATATCACTTTTACACCTGATCCTTCAGAATGGCCGACAATTGCCACGACCTCTACTCCAAAAGCTATATGATGCGATCGATGACTACAATCACATCAAGCAACGGGAAGATCAACGACCAAGGTGGGGCATCCACTTGTCTGAAGCTCACATACTTGCGATTGCTGATACCCCGACTCCTGCTGATCGTGAACGTACCAATCCAGCCGCTGGCAAATCGAAAGCAGCCCCGAAAGCTGCACCAGCACTGGGAAGAGTGTCGAAAGCGAAAGCATCATCGTCAGCGACATGGAGAACAGTTGAAACCGCTCCTCAGCCAAAACAAGCTCCAGTGACCCCGCCAAAGAAGGGTGGAAAGGACCAAGGAAAAGGTGGAAGATCTTATTCACACCGTGGCGGAGACTGGAACCAACAGGGATACTATGGATGGGGATATAGATGATTAAGCGATCTGACCTCTGCATAGGTCCTGATTGAACCTGGCGATGCGAGGATGCAATCATTGCTCGAGATTTACCTCTACTTCATTTTGAATGATTTCTGAGAGGACTCTGAGCCGGCTAATTTAGAAACACACATTTTTTTTTGAACATCATTGCATGAAACGCTGAGTTTCTACAGCGGTCTACGTCTCAACCGACGAAGGGACGGGGAGGTAAACTTCTAGTTCCATAGTCAACTTTGTGTTTTGATTTCTTTAATTCACATGCTTGAGTGAGACTCCATGCTGGCTACGCCACATTGGACGAACCTCAATGCTAGACACCGACTACGTCGTGTCTACATGCACGTGAACAGAACCTTCATCTTTTGGGTAGAGATTGTAGCAAGCCGCCATGTAGATATGAAGTTCTGAACGGACTTTAGCTCTCCATAATTCAATAAATGAACAGCTGCAGATGTAGTGGATCAATTCGAGGGACACTCCTTTGCGCGTGGCCGACAAAGTTGGCCATGCGTGGGGGGTGCGAATAGAGTGTAGGCTACGGACCATTGTACACTACCACATAATTCAGCCCTCAAAGATCCACAGCCAGGGGGTACATCAACTCGCCCCTTTGGCTCAAGACCCACTGCAGTACCGGAAAAGAGCAAAGCCATGCGGAAGCCGCTATTCACTTGTCATCGCCACTGAAGACGACTCCTTCGAGAACCAACATCAATACATAGTCGGAGTGACAACCTCCGATTCACAAATACTGTATATATATATATACTGTAATACTGTATATATATATACTGTAATACTGTATATATATATATATACTGTAGTACTGTATATATATATACTGTAATACTATATATATATATATACACATACTGTAAAACTGTATATATATATATGGTCCATATATTTCAATTTATTTGAACTTAATAGCACCGAAGGTTGATGGTTGTCTTAGAGTTGTCTTAATGAGTTCCACATGAAGGCAAGATTGATGACTTCTCTCGATGATGGCGTAGGCGACCTCCTCACCAATGGGGGACTGTTGCACGTGTGTGCAAACGGCAAACAAGAAAATGCTATCAGCCCGCAGGTTGGAAGGAAAAATAGTTGGAAACAACATTCTTTGGCGCTTGCCATGCTGTTCGATGGCAAAGCTGAATCAAGTCACCATCCTTTCATTATTTGTCAAGGAAATCACCCTGTGCCATGCAGAGTTTGTGCAGTAAAAACCACTCCGGATGTAAAACCTCATTTCGTTCTGCAAGTGGAACGTGTGAACCAGCTGCCGGTGTGCTGTGCCCATAAAAAATATGTTGGTACTTCCTGGTGAAGAGTCACAACCTGCAGCAGATCGGTCTCAATATCATGAGATTTTATGGTTTGAAAATGCTTGGCTTGTGAAGTGACTTGATTCACGGACATTTACGCAGGTGCTGCTCCCAGAGCCTTCCGCATTCCGACGCACTTTGCAGCTACGATAGCAGCAGACAGACTCCAAGGCAGGGGGTCGCTTCTATGCAGGTCCGGGCGAGCAAACGCAAATTGGTTGGCTAAACAATCTATATAGAATGATCTGAAAAGTTCCGCGTGTTACATCTGACCCTGTTGTTTTGGCCCTCCCGATGAAATATATATATATTATATGAAATGGCAGCATGGATCTGGGACTTTGGCATGCGGACCCGTAACGGCCATCATTGCAAGACATATCTCAAAATAACGCAGGCAGTTCAAACCATGAGCTGTTTTGGTGTGCAACTTGCCCAAGACGAATCTCTCTGCAAAAGACGTCAAGTGAGTAATGAAAACGGATGAAATATGTGCAAGACTAGGCAGGCGCAACAGACATTTTTGTTCAAGATGAGCCAAGATGAGCAAAACAAGCACTTTTATTTCTGCTGGCACAAACAAAATGCCTGTGCAAGGAAGGTATGCAACATCAAATTCCCCTGAGGGACATCTTCGGTTGGAAACTTCCACTACGCCGCCTAATTGCGTCATGAACAGCTCTCCATTCCAATTGTTTCTTCAATTAGAGAGTGGACAAGCCAAGAGGAAGTTCAAACGAAAGTTGGAATATGCATATCAAATCTTGTCAACTCACAACGTTGCGTCGATTCTTAATGTTATTCAAAGCTTGGGTTTGGCAGCCTATTGTCCAATAATGAAAGGACATTGTTAATTGCGAATGCAGATGGTTAATGAGGAAGAAACCCTTGGCTTTTGATATATCGTTCATGGAATCTGGCTTGAGAATCCTTGAGATACGCTACCTTGCGCGGAACCAAATGTGAAATCAAAGGTTCAAGGATGATAGTGATAGTAAGCAGTACAATCTTCCGTTTGCCATTCTTTTTTTAACGAAGAGCAACCCACTTCTCCGCAGTAAGCCGTTCAATCAACCAACGCCTTGGTTTGCAAATAAGAAGCGCCTCTCATTGATTTTTGCAAGTTGACAACACCTTTGCAAAATTTTGAGTTGAAGGGAGAACACTGTTCAACTTTCAGAACACAACGGTTGCAATTCGCAGAATTTTGATTACTCTTTGGCACAAATACACACGCCGTCAACAAATTCCCAGGAATGGGGGAAATGCAGCATGAAATTGAGCATAGTCACTTCAATGTGACCATAAACCGCCTCCAATCATCCATTAGGTTTTGGGAAAGAACTACAACTTAGAGCCTTGTACAGTGACTGCTGCTAGTTAATGCTGCGGCTTCGCGACTACGCCTTTCCGGTCACAAACTCCTGTAATACAGTAAAGTTGAGATTAGACCGTCTAGACGGTCTAGCCAGCAAATAACATGCATTTACTTGGACACCTTCGATCGCCCCAACCAGATCCCATGAGAGATGTCCTCTTTGAAAATGAGCCTGGGCTAGGATCGAGCATTTTGTATACCAGACGCGTAAATGAACCACACGCTCACTGGCTGTTGGAAACATGTCAAGATGAATAGGCAGTCATTGGTCGCAACATAGTAGTGGATATGGTTAATCACCAACGTGTGGGTATGATCTAAATGTACTTGTAAGAAGTTCCAACTGCGATCTTCATATCATATCATGTTCTCTCCCCCCGCGAAAAAATAAATAGATGTATATACATATGTGTATATCTATGTGCATCAGGTTCTGGAAGGCTTGGGTTTGCACTGATCATTTCTAATCACCATGTTATTTTGGCTCAAGTGCCTTGATCCAAAATAGCATATGTTTTGCTTTTTCTGGGTCTAGGCGTATTGTGGAGTGACCGCAGAAAGCGTGTGATCACTGGGGTAGAGAGCCTACCTTTTGGGGTGCATGGCCACGCGGGGCATTCACCTCGCCGTCCACACCAATGAGGCCCTTCTTTCTACGGGTGCTTGGATGGACTTCAGCCAGCATATCAACATGTTGGTGCTGCGAGGAGACATGGACGAGGCCAGGACGCTGCGGGGGTCAGTGTTCGAGGTGGTTAACATGGGAGTTGACCCAGCCACCCCCGTGCTACAATCCATGGACATGCCTCCGGTCAGAAGAATGCCCTGTTGCAAGACCCCATGTGTCAGATGTGATCGGTGTGGGGACCCGCAGAGCCGTACTCGCTCAAGACGGAGGGACCGTCGCGGCGACTTGGGATAGGTACCATGCCACTCCTGAGGAAAGGCTGGACCTGGTCGCTCTCCAGATGTATGGCTCTGGGCGCCTCCTGGAAGACTTCGTCCCAGCGAACGTTGCAGCACTTTCTGACCGACTGGCAGCTGGGTTGGACGGGATTTCGCAGAGCTACTTCTTTGCCCAGTGGAGGCTGTGGCAATGGGGCGCTGGACGATCCGGCCTTCTTCATGCCAGAGGAGCGGAGTGTCAGGAGTGATGCAGGGCGTTTCCTGCGCCTATTGCTGGGAGCCATGGAGTCAGAGGTTGACTACATCCCACCCATTGGGGCGGTGTGCAACATGCCACGCTACTCTGAGTGTCCAGGGTGTGGCACGCATTGGTGCGATGGTTGTCGGGACTTCTTGCCCTTTGTGCCATGTGCGGTGAAAGCTCCGACGAAGATGCCTAGCTTTGAAGCCTCACGGCGCTTTGCAGCTTATGAAGGCAGAGGGACTGCCTGCTGCATCCACAAGTGCTATGAAGATCTGGGAGAGATCTGCACGGTGGGCAATCCAAGCGGCACAGGAGTGACCTGTTCAGCGTTGCAACCTCCTCAACAGGGTCAAGACGCGATCCACCCACCCTGCCCCCAACAGGTCAGGTTTGGGAGTCGTGTCAAGGGAGCCCAATCAGGTCTTGTTGTCCATGGTGATGAAGAAGCCTCTCTATGGCCTTTGCAGTATTGGCTTCAAGCGGTGGGTGCAACTGTCCTGGCCATGGCTTCTGGTCCGGGACGCTATGCTGCGGAGGTTGCTGCTGGGCCTATCGATGCTGCCACCAACTTAGATCAGGTACAGCAGGCACGAGCCAGGGAGTTTCGTGACAGCCGAAGGCTTGCAGACGACGCTGACTTTGCATTCTACTTCAACACCTATGAGGAGGCAAAGCTTGCTGGAGGGGACTTTCAGCAGCCTTGGAACCACGCTCCAGGACGGCGCCTTTGCCGTTCCGAGGGCCTTCATCCAAAGCCGACCTGCCCATGTCGAAGCGATCGACTGTGCGGTTGAGGCCACCGGATGACCAGGCCGAGCAGATCAACAACAGGGTGGCTGGGCTTACCCAGGTTTCATGGATGCAGGGGTCATGAAACCCTCTGGACACATCAGCGACAGCATCTTCAACGAGTGGGAGACTGGAGTGACCAGGCTTTCACAGGAGAAAGTCGCACACGCTGACAAAATCACGATCATCAATGCGGTGCGGACCTATGCCGAGCTGAAGCACTTTATGGCAGCCCGAGATCGCGCAATGCCACCAGAGGAGCTTGACCTCAGGTCTTTCTTGGACACGGGCACCGGAGGCCCAGTGCGGGCGCTCAACGCCTTGCGATGGCTCTCCAGGCAGGGCCAGTTGGGGTGGCCACTGGAAGGGATCCAGTCGGCGCCAACGGCTGGGACCAGAAAGCAACAGAGGGGCCCAGGCAGTGGTTATCGAACCGCCTATGTTGAGTTTCCTGGAGGATGCCATCGAGGACCACATCAGGCTGAATAACGCCAACTGGCGGCGATTGCTGGGTGGTGGTTGGTAGGGCAAGGATGCCTAAGGTACAGGCATCTGTCGCTGTCCACCCCAGTCAAGCTGACAGTGTCCACGATGCATGCCCACTGTGCCAGGGGCAAACAAGCCCATAACAGAGCCGGCTTTGATTGGGCAGTACCCGCTCGTTTCTACTCAGGCTTCAACTGGGGAGAGCACTGGTTGCGGGAGTACCAGCATCTCGCTCCAGAAGTTGCAGCACGAGCAGGATTCTGCTTCAGCCTTGAAGGAGTGCCCTTCAGCATCAGAGACGTCCAAGATGCAGCCAGAAACCTCTTCCAGGGCCATGTCGAGCCCCTGGAGGGCTGACTACTTACTCGTTCGGGCGCATCCTGCCGACAGTGGGCCGCATGCTCAGGTTCGCTGATGATGAGCACCTGGCCGCGGAGATTGGCTGGTGATAAGTCCAAAGCAGCCATGCCGCACCACTACTCTGCGGCTAAGTACCAGCAGAGTGTCAGGTTGAAACACAGGGCCTATGAGGTGGCTTCCAAACTCTTCGAATACGCATCTTGGGAGATCATACACAATGATGTCTTGCAGGAGATTGACCAGCAGGCCCAACTCCGAGTGAACAAGCTGGTGCAGCAAGACCAGATTGTCTGGGCCTTGCCACCCGATGCGGTGCAGCTGCAGGCACAATTCCGGCTGTCTGAGGAGAGCCAGGAAGAAGCGCTCCGCAGTGAAGACGCAGGTATGCCGGCAGAGTTGCGGGGCTATGTCCTGACACGGACATTGAAGCCTGGAACTATGCTGTGCACCGCCTTCAACACGGACAGGTGCTACAACACTGACGCCACGTGCGAAGGAGCCCACCTTTGCGCGGTGGTGCTGCAATTTTGCCGATGCCAAGAGGGCGGAGCGACCGCCTATAGGCCAAAACAGCCTCCCAAGAAGAAGGCCAAGCACGGAGAAGAAGGTTCAGCTCCAGCGACCAAGCGCAAGTCAGCGCAAGCAACATCTTCGAAGGCAAAGGCAGTGGCTGCGCCAGCGGTGCGCCAGCTGGAGATACCAGCAGTGGTGCGACAGAAGGTTGGATCAACTAGCCAGAATGAAGGGGCGTACTACTGAGTCCCCATCTCTCATCTTTAAGATGGAGGTGGGTTGTGGCCCTCAGGAATACGTGCTGAGGCGACAAAGGTATGTATGAGAGCCCTGAAGAGCGCGGTGGCATCACCCTCGATGGAGCGCACCTGATGTATAGTTCCCGATCTCCGGACAGCAGGACGTGCGGGAGCATGGAAGCGGCTGTTCCCGCGAGTGAGGCAGAGCTTGTATCAGGGCGATGTGGTCCTCTATCATTGCATGGCCGGACGCCACAGAGGTGCTGCGGCGGGAGTGGTGACGGTGGCAGTGATGGGAAGGATGTCCATCAGGGAGGCCGAGGAGAGTATCCTCAAGCGCCGCCCGATCCAGCTGCGCCAAGCTTTCAGAGATGAGTACTTGGTTGATATTGGGCACACAAGACGGTCAGGAGCACGACATTGCCTGCCCCCTTGCCAAAGGCAGTGGCTTGGGCAGCCTCCGAGAAGTCCCACGTGCACATCCTCACCGACAACGAGGGTAACATGTCGACCCTGTGCGCGCATAAGCAAGGGCAGAGTCGCCCTAGGGAGTTGAGCTCACCCAATGTCACGCACGACAAGTACGAAGCCATTGCATGGTCTTTACCTTTTTGTTCAGTGTGCCGAGAACGAGCACCAGCCAGCTTTTTGCTGCAGTAATTCATGGTTCTTGTCTTTGACACGGCTAAGAGCGGCTCTTTTTACCGAACCAACGGTATGCCAGCCTGAAGATCGACGTTACATTTGCAGAGAAAAGTGAGAGGCGCTTCGTAGGGATCTCATGTTTTCCCTGTTTGACTTCCCCCCTTGCATGAGTGGCATGTCATGGAAACAGTAGGCATGAGCATGTGTCCGTGTCTGTCGTCGTGTCAGGGCCCGGGAGTGACCCGGAGCAGGTTGGCAGGGACGGGAGGGGGAAGGTTTCCCGGGTTCGGCTAACAAGTGCTGTTGCTGGAACCCAAACAAGGGGGCATACCACGCCGTGTTGAGGCATCTTGGTTATACCCTTGTGCACAAGCCAGCTTGCGGATCAAGCATCATGGCTTTCACCCCGATTTTGAATGGCTCCCCTGAAGAGCGACTTCGGAAGTTAAGGGAGCAATTTTCCCTAGAAGGAGTGGTAGTCGATGCCTTGACCAAGGAGAAAATCCAGGACCTGGAAGAGTTCCGGTTCTTCTGTGAAACTAAGGTAGAGAAATGGCGGTCCCAGCTGAGCCTTGGGGAAGACGCCAACATACAGGCGGCACGAGTACGCAGGGCTTGGCATGCAGTCACCATGTACTACAAGACGTTCGAGCAGGACAGGTCGAAGGTATCGACCACAGACTTGGACACGCTCCTTGATGATTCCGAGCTCAGGACCTACAAACAAAACTTCTGGGTCCGCTACAAGTTGCGTTTCTCCACTGAACAGTACCCCAGCGATGCAACAGTCCCTAGAGTGTCTAGAGAGCTGGACAAAAGGATGCTTTGCGTCATGTCGGTTTGGAAGGTGAAGAGCCTTCAATGGCAGCTCCTCACCACGAACAAGAAGCGCAAGCTGGGGGATGGGCTCTTCACGGAGGAGCCCGAACTGAAAGAAGCAGGCGCACGAGATGCAGAGCACTACTTGGATAGGCTGTACACGCTGATGCTGGCCTACGCCAAAGCAGGCACCTCCAGAGTGACTGGAGCCCCGCCTGCCAAAGATGAGTAAGTCATGGGAGCTGATACCACGCAGTTTGTCTCAGTCCCTCTTGACATCCTGATGAAATACTTTGCCAGGGCCAAGAGAGTTACTATGCAGCTGCCAGCGTCAAAGAGGCTGGCATGGCTTCAAGCAAAAGACACCGAAGAGAGATCCGAATGGGTTTCCAAGTTCCGAGAGTCGACTCGGAGTTTGGGGACAGTGGTGAAGGAGGCCTATGAAGCTAGAGACGCGCATTGGGTCGTCTCAGCCTCGCCGATGCGAGCCATGGAGGGCCCATCGCCCCGCAGGCCCCCGCTGGTGAGGCCCAGTCATCGCAGTTCCAGATGGGCCAGAAGGTGAACGGCAAGGCAGTGGCCAAGACCATGAGAGATGGCACAGGACTCTGCCCAGCATTCCAGCAGGGCAACTGCAAAGTCAAGGGCTCATCCTGCCCGAAAGGGGCGCATCGATATTGGTGTGGTGACGAGAGGGCAGAGGACATGCAACTCGGCGAGCCATGGGGCACCTGGTTGCACGGTGAAGACAAGGGCTTGAAGCTCCCCTGAGGGCCCACGGACAGGGCTCTCAGGGCAGCACGTTTTCCCCCTCTGCCTCCGGAAGGGGGAGGTGAGCCCCCGCTTTTTGCGGATCTCATGTCTAGGGTCAGTGCCCTCTTGTCGCAGGCTTTCCTCTTCTGTGGCTGACGGACGGCCGACGTTACAAGTTGATTGGTTGATCGACAAGGCGCGCGATCTCTCAGACTGCAGGAGACAAGCTAGCTTGGAGCCGCAGTTGGAGCAATGTGCTTTCATTGCAGCTGCCCTGGACTGCTCGACCAAATCCCGGGCTTGAGAGATCCCCAACCAGGGTGTTTGACGATGGGAGGAAGGCCCCTCAACCGCTGCGGGGTGACCGCTACCCGGAGGGCTTACTACAACTTGAAGCCTAGGGATCAGGCTAGAGTCGACACCGACAATGCGGCATGCGCTTGGGTGCTCAGGAGAGAGTGGGCGAGGTGGATTGCGTGAGAATCCTGCCAGGAGCCTGCATTGGAGCCTCCCACAGGAGCAAGAGATGCTCGCGACCGGGCTCTGGTTTGACACGGAGTACTCAGCATGTGCATTTGCTTCGGCAAGACCAAGTCGCAGAGGCCGAGGCACAACATCCCTGAGATAGCTGCTTGGGGCCCGCTGCAATGCCACCACGTACACGACGAGACAGAATGGACACCTGTGCAGGTGGACGGAGTGACCGTCTACCCATCAGCCGAAGAAGCGGAGTATTCAGCGAACAGTGGGCCTTAGCTCCGTTGGCGATATCTTTAGGGCTCGCTCCCAGGCACCCAACAGAAGCTGATCGAGTTCCCCTGAGGGCCAGGGTAGAGGAGTTGATCAGCGATGGAATGCTGCCAGAGGATTGTGTCTACGTGGGGCAAGGGCATCATAGCCATCGACTCAAGCGTACCAAGTGGGCCTCGCCGTTTACACCTGGTCAGGATGTACCCCTGGATGAGTGGCTTCGTAGGTACGTCCAATGGGTCATGGAGACCTTGTCGCACTGCTTGCATGAACTGCAGGGAGTGACCCTGGTTTGTGTGACTGCCAGCACGGAGGTCCGTGTGAAGCAGCCATGCTGGCAGGCATGGTGTTTGATGTTCGTCCACAAGCACCTGCGCCTTTGGACAGGGCAGTCTTGACAGCCAGGTCAGCGAAGCCCCAGAGGCAGGTGCGGTTGCTAAGGCAGAGTGGCTGCCGGCCTCTCCATCCCAGCACAGGCATGGAGCCTTTCCCAGGAGGAGATCATTCAATGTTTCCGCAAGCCTGCTGAGCGCTCAGCCACAAAGCTGCACTGCCTCTGATTCTGTCATATGGCCTCACCATGGATGAGCACTTCAACCAGGCCAATGCGCTGTTGGAGAGACCAACACCTACTGAAGCATTGCCCTTGCTGGACTACGATTTGCACTTTGCAGCCCAATGTACAGCAGCTGAGGGCGACAGGCTTAAGCAGCGTCGCCGACGAGCAGTGGGATTGCTGCGCGAGCTGAAGTGCAGATGGCGAGGAGTGATCTCCCACTTGCGAAGATTCCAGCCTGAGTCGATTCGGAAGGTGATGGAACAGAGGGACGTGGGTTTGGTGGCGCCATTAATTGTGCTCACCCCATGGCCTGATCTCACCTACCCATTCGGCCTGATTGGGGGACTGCCTGCGGTGGGCTACGCACCGAACTATGGGGTCTTCCCGGTGCAAGTAGCTGACATGATGTCACTTGATGGAAGTTCTAGAAGAATGGGAATCTCACAATTCCATTATCATGTCCAACTTGAAGCCGGGCAAGGATGACGAGTTTGCATTGAAGCAGTCCGAGGTGGACGCGCCCAAAGGTTTCTGCACTTCCCCAATGACGGCGGCGCAACTGCTTAGAGAGACAAAAGGGCAGCCATACAGGCTGATCCCGAGACCCGTGATCACACAGTCCTCAGGCAAACAAAGAGCCATTGATGATGCAACGATGCAGCGAGGGCTTCTTGATGGAGGTGCTACTCATGGACTTCGACAGGCCAAGCCTGAAGAGGAGCCGGACCTGATCGCCACGAAGGTGGAACTGGCTTGTGGGTCAACGGTGCTCTACAAGCACCCCAAGCATCAGACCTTGCTGAGCAAGGAGCCGGTGGAGCCAATCATACCTTTGGCCTGGCTGGTGGCGGCAGACTACAGGATCACATGGCGCCGTGACAGCATTGTGATCCATCACCCAATGAGGGGACCATTGAAATGCAGCTTGAGGGGCGGTTGCCCGGTGATGTCTCGCTCCGAGGGCTTGGAGTTGTTGGCTGACCTTGAGAAGATGCAACAGACCAACATTGAGGTCAAGGAGGACGAGCTGAACTGGTGGGCGAGCCGATTCCCACAGGTACCGCCTTCTGTCTGGAGGTTCATGAAGGGGCAGGGTGAATCTTGGAAGGATCATGCTGTTGGTCTTCCCTGGAACCGCCATCGGAGGCGGCGATTATGGCGCTGTCGTGGGGTGATCCTACATCTGTTTTCTGGCCGAAATCCCAAGCATTGGGCTGAACTGGAGCAGGCGGGCTACATGGTCATCACTGTTGACACCCTTCAAGGAGTGGATCTTCATGATTCATGATGCAGCGACTTGGGCATTTCTTTGGGAGCTGGCTTGCGCAGGCAAGATTGCCGCGATCCTGGGTGGTCCGCCTTGCCGCACAACCTCAAGGTTGCGTCAACGTCAGCCTGGACCGCCTCCATTGAGGGGGCGAGATGAATGGCGGTTCTCTTTGGAGGGCCTCACAACATGGGATCTCCACAGGGTCAACTCAGACACGGCCCTGCTCTTCAAGCAGCTTGGACTCTTCATCAAAGCCGAGGAGAAATGCCTGCAGGTGTTGGAGCTCCAATCTCTTCCGACTGCCTTTGCATTGGAATCACCTGAAGATCCAATGGCATACTTGGGAGCTGAGGCTGCGCACAATCTTCCATCGTTTTGGAATTTCCCAGAGCTGAAGGAAATGGTGGGCTTGGGGAACTTGAAGCTGGTGAGCTTTGACCAGTCCCAGATGGGACATGCACGGAGGAAGCCGACCACTATTCTGGGGAACTTGCCTGGATTGGAACAGCTGGACGGCCTGAGGGATTCATCTCGACGATCGGACTCATTGCCAAGAGGGTTGCAGGAGTCCATGGAAGCTTCAAAGGACTGGGCGAGTTGGGCACCGGGCTTGGTGATGGCCCTCAAGGAGGCGCTGAAGGTGTATCTCCATCGACGGGATCACTGCCTAGCTCAACGCATCCACAAGCTGAATGTTGAAGAGTGGAAACTGCATGTCAAAGCTCATCATCACCCATACCGAAGAGATTGTCGTCGATGCATGGAGCTGGCTGGGGTTGATAGCCCACATCGGAGGTCGCATGCGGACAGCTCAGCCTATGTCCTCTCCATGGACTTAGTTGGCCCATATCCAGTTGGAAGAGA